AAATCTTAAAAGATGATGCTGTTAAGGTGCTACATTCAATATGCCAGCAAATTTGGAAAACTCAACAGTGGCCAGAGGATTGGAAAAGATCAGTCCACATCCCAATCCCAAGGAAGCCCAGTGCCAAAGAATGCTCCAACTACCATACAATTGCACTCATTTCACATGCTAGCAAGGTTATGCTCAAAATCCTCCAAAGTAGGCTTCAACAGTATGTGGACCGAGAACTCCCAGAAGTACAAGCTGGATTCAAAGGGGCAGAGGAACTTGAGACCAAATTACTAACATATGCTGGATTATAGAGAAAGCCAGAGAGTTCCAGAAAAACATCTACTTCCGCTTCATTGACTAAACAAAAGCCTTTGACTGTGTAGACCACAGCAAACTATGGCAGGGATTTAAAGAAATCCCATCTGCCCCCTACTATTGGTTGTGAACTTCAAGAAGGCCCTGAATTGGAGCATCTCCAAATTCTGAGAATTATATCAAAATGTAAGCTTTGCTTAATTTGGGTGGCTGGTTTAGCAAAGCAACTTCTCCCAGTACAGTGGCTGTCACAAGAGATTCCCCATCTGCCCCCTACTATTGGTTGTGAACTTCAAGAAGGCCCTGAATTGGAGCATCTCCAAATTCTGAGAATTATATCAAAATGTAAGCTTTGCTTAAATTAATTTGGGTGGCTGGTTTAGCAAATACAACTTGCAGTGGGAACGCTCCTGTCATGCTGATAAGGGTGTTGTAGCTTTCAAACTGTTCGACATATGTTCTCTATCTTTGTATTAGTGAAGTTCATTAGTTATGAATTCTGTGTACAGTACTTTGTTTTCCTGTTTTTTTAAATTCATATATATATAGATCTGTTGTATTTCCTTCGTTGCTGTCCTTCTGAGTCTCAGTCTTTTGATTTCTTGGTGGCAGTCTCCATCAGGCGATTGTTGTTTAGTCATTAGGTTGTGTCCAACTCTTTGTGACCCCATGGATCAGAGCACGCCAGGCCCTCCTGTCTTCCACTGCCTCTGGAGTTGGGCCAAATTCATGTTGGTAGCTTCGATGACACTGTCCAACCATCTCGTCCTCTGTCGTCCCCTTCTCCACTTGTCTTCACACTTTCCCAACATCAGAGTCTTTTCCAGGGAGTCTTCTCTTCTCATGAGACCATCAGGCAATACATATAATTAAAGCAGCCTATTAACATAGGAAGGAGTCAGACATCACTGGAAAAAAATCAAATTCTTGCCAGTTATGGTTATATAAGGTGATTTTATGAAACACTTCCTGCAATACTTACCTCTCATTTTGCATATAAATTTAATGACAATTATAACAGGCAGAAAGCCACCACACTTCTGAAAAGGGCCACATATAACTAAAGACCCTGGGACCTATTGTCTTGTTGTATTGATTTGGTTATGATGCTAAGTAGTTCATTTCCTTTGCAGCCAGTCATTTTAACCATTTAATTGCATTGTATATTCATTTAGGCTAGACTGAGTTCAGACAAGGCACACCAGTGGCAGGTGGTTTGCTAGATCTTAAATATTAATCACTATAATAACAAATATAAGGCACTAGTTTCTCTCATCACTCAGTGCTGTTAAGTTCTTTGTAAGACCTTTTCAAAGTTCTGCAAAACAAGGATTGTAGGATACTATTTCAGATAGCAATTATTCAGCTTGACCTCCTATCATAACCTAGTCTTCAGTAGCTAATTTGACTTATCTCTCACTCCTGTTTTTGGTGGAACAACTAAGAATAGCAAAGACAGTAATGAATGATATGAGTCAGATGTAGAAGAACCTTTCTGTTAAAAAGCCCTCTAATAACAAGGCTCAGGCAGGGAACACTGCCATTTTAAGGGATAAAATATAAGTCATTTGCAGATCAGCTTTTTAAAACTAACTTGCTGGCACAGGGTCAAACAGATCCAGATTTGGATCGTTGGAAGAAGGTCTTTAATCTCAGAAAGTGATACTGCAACTTTCCTTTCAGAATGGAGTTTGTCCAACATCTGCTTCCTTGTTGCTGTCTGATTTGTGGCATCCTTTCTGGAATACAGATCTTTCCAAGAATTGAGATTATAACATGAATTCCACAGAGAATTTGTGACCTGATGCAGTTCATAGCTAGTTCTGTGTGAACCGTTGATTTAGTTAGTTTGGTGTAACTTAGAAATTGGTTTTCCTGGATAGTCACGTGTATAGGATTCCATTAAGTTCCAGAGGGCCTTCAGTGATTGTAAGTTCTATAATATTGGTCGGGCTTCAATTCAACAGTATTGTTAAGGATAACTAAAACACACTAGCCCCTTTGGCATCAATATTATTATTCAAAACAGTTCCATGTAATCTTTATCCTCCTTCTTTCCCGTTTTAAGCAGGAAAGTGGAATATGCGCTTAATGAAAATCAATTAAAATGTGTAGCAATGGCTGTTTGAATGAACGGAGTGTGTGACCCTTTCCAGGATGCCCTCTTCCAGTGTAGAAAGCTACAATGCTCAGATTTATATTTTACACATAGGTGGGCTCCAAATCTTCATTGAAGTTCACAATAGGCTGGGTCTTGCCATAAGGTTTTATATAGTAGTCTTGGGCCATACCAGGTTCACAGCCTATATTAGTGAGGCCGCTGTCACTAGAGGAAGACAAGTTGTCATGGCAAACTTTACAGTAGTGTCTGTGGTGGCAGAGTGGAGGTGTAGTTCCAGAGGAGCTGCTGCCAGAATCAGAATCAGGACAAAGGTAAAAGGAACCAAGTACTTTGTGTGTCAGCATCTTGTGAGGATGAGGGTTCCTGGTATTGTCCAGATACAGCAGGTTTTCAGTCTTGTACTGAAGCATATTCTTAAGCGCTGGTGCTGACAAAGTAGACAACTGATGCAATGAACATCTGTCCTTGGTAGCACTTACCATCATGTGGGAATATTTTGTCAGTCCACTGCAGCTTGTTTGCATTTTGTTTTCAGTACATACTGTATTGGGGGTCATGGGAAAAACTGTTTTCCTTGTCACCGTACAAGGACTACATTGTTTAATGTCTATCTTAACCTCTTGTGATGGGCTTATTAGACTCATGTCATAATCTTCATTTAATTCATGGCCCCTGGAGTGCATTTCAGTGATATGAATGTGATTCATACTCAGATCTTGCAAGGTTTCTTGAAGCATTTTACTTCTCTTACAGGTGATCTCTGGGAGCTGGTTTGGTGTCATAGGTGAAGAATTTGCTTGCTCTGCTTTCTCACCTGACCTTGGGGGACTATCTCTATGTGGGGCTTGAATGGTACCCACAGTAAGTGTGTTGGTGAATTGAGAGAACGACTGATCTTGGCCCCGTCTGGAACTGGCATAATCATCAGTTGTGCAGTCATTCATAAGCCTGCACTTTGCAGTGATGTGTGCTGGTGTCTGCCGAGTTCTATATTCTAAATAATGAAGGCTCTCTTTTTTATGACATAATCCTAACCTGCACTGTGAATTTGGAAACCCTGGAGTCTGCCGTGTCTTCTGTTCCTGGCCAGGTGAGGAAGAATCTTGTGGTTGTTTTTCGGCTACAGCAGAAGAACAATTAGCTGCAGAATGAGTCTGCAGAAAATGCAAAGAGTCAGCATCACTGTGGGTCTCAGCCGCTGTAAGTCTCATCAGCTTCTCTTTAGCACTGTTCACTTCCTCTTGAAGGAAAGCAATTGCTGTATTCTTCTGTATTGAATAAAACAAGGAAACAATTCCAGTTCTAATATCATAAACACAGTATGACATGACATTCCAGAAGAGGAATAAGCCTGGCTATATATACAGAAGAATTTGAAGTGTGATGTGAATGCTTTTTATTTGTGTAATAAAAAATCATTTGCAGTAAAAATAAAAAGACCATTGTAAAATAACTAATTAAAATAAACCACTTAAAATAGCAAAAAAAAAAAAAAAGGGGGGGACATAAACCAGGCTATAAAAATCTCATATGTTTCAAAGTTTTGAAAATAAAGATCAGATTAAATGTGTGCTACTTTTTCATTTTTATTTCAGTATATTGATTTTCCTTTCCACCAGTAAATGTAAGACTTGATGACACAATTGTTAGATTATCAAGGGGACACAGGAAAGAAGCTGTCTTGGCAGCTCTTAAAGAACCTTGTTGTGTTCCAGAATGCAAATACTGCTTTTTAATAAAAATTTCCATCAGTTTGCAACAACACAAATTATATCAGCTGTTCATGAACTTTTTACAGAGCTTCCTGCTACTTCCTGTAGAGTGGGAAGTTCAAAAGAAAAACCAGATATATGAGTAAATGATTTGTTATCAATTTAGTGAGAGGATTGTTCACTCTTATCTAATACAGTGGTGCCTCGCAAGATGATGAAAATCGCTGTTAAGCGAAAACATCATCTTGCGAAACACGTTTTCTCACTGAAATGCATTGAAAACCTGATAATCTGTTCCAATGGGAACGGATTGTCATTGTAAAGCGAAAATTCCCATAGGAAACATTGTTAAGCGAAACGCGGCTCCCAAGCGAAGACAGCCGTCTAACGAAACAGAGACCATTAAAAGACTTGTATAGTGAAGCAAGACCAAGCTGTCAAAAACATCGTAAAGCAAAAAACAGGGACCTAAAATTTAATTGTCTTGCAAGGCAAGGTCCCTAACACCGTAAAGCGAAAATCGCTGTTAAGCGAAAACATCATCTTGTTTTTCAAATGATGTATTAATGAGGCTAATTGGTGTTGCTGGAGGATGGATTTTAGAGGGGTTTTTTTTTTGCTACAAATAATATCTCTTTTGTTTTTTCAATGATACATTATATTCCATGTTCTAGACTTCACCTTTATAACACTATGGACCCCTGACTGCTTCTCTGTTATGCCACAATTACAGTTTTACTCAGATCTACTGCAGGAATCTTCTTATTTAAATGAGGATGTCAAATCTGAAAGTGAGAATTTTCAGTGTTAATGGAATGGGATCTTCAGTTAAACATGCAGGGGCCCATTCCCCAGAGAGTGCAAAACCAAATGAAGTTCCTGTCATTTGGCTGCAGTTTCTTCTTACTCAGCCTAAAGAAGTGGAAGAATGAGAATGGAAGAGCCAAGTCCCACAAAAACCTCCCTACTGGGGCGAAACAGCAAGAGAGAAGAAAGTGAGAATGCAGAAATACAGAAAACCAGCTTACTTGCCCCTGGGACATCTCATGGTATGGTCACATTCCCACCCAGACTGCAGAGCCCCAGAACAGAAAGTATGGGAAATGCATGGGGGTGAGTCTACTATCCCCAAAGCCCTCAGGAATAGAAATGGGCACTTCCACCCCTATTTGTGAGACCGAACAGGACACTCATTGTGTGTGTGTGTTTAGTCGTTTAGATCCCATGTAGACACACCATTACATATGTTGGTTGAAGAACTGCCAGAAAAGCCACTGAAGGAAGAGACCACAATGGGCAATGAAGTTGAGCAATTATTAAGTTTACAATAAATAAAAGATGTTAAATTGAAGGAGGAGTTGTCATTTAAATTTGTCCAACATGGGAAATGTAGGAGTCGGGGGGGGGGAGAGACACTGGATCGAGTCACACAGCCATTCTCAATAGGGAACCCTTTGGGAGGCCCTGTTTGGAGTTGGGGGGCACAGACTGGAAACAATTCTTAACAGATTTTGTAGTGCAGTGGTTAAACTGCAGTGGCAGTACTGCAGTACTGCAGCCCTGCAGCCCTGCAGTACTGCAGCCCAAACTCTGCTTATGACCTAGGTTCAATCCCAAGGTTCATTCAGCCTTCCATCCTTTCAGGGCTGGTAAACTCAGTACCCAACTTGCTGAGGGATGGGAAATGTGTAGCCTGCATAATTAAATTGCAAATTGCCCAGAAAGTGCTTTAAGTGCTATGGGGCAGTATATAAGCAGCATGCTTTACTTTTTGCTTTATAAGGTTCATTATGCAATTTATACATGTGCCGTTTGGGCTGTATTTCTTTCAGATTGTGTTTATGGCCATGGCAAAAATAAATGTTGAGAATGAGGGGCAACAAGAAATCAGTATAAAGTATCGCACACTACGGTGGTTGTTCAAACACAGAAATGATACCTTTTCTGGTGCGATTTCTCACATGCAACAATTCAGGCAGAAAAGATGTTGCACATGAACCTACAATTTGCTGCTTCTTTCATAATACACAGCACTTGGCTTGACTAGCTGGATCTAGAATATTGTGAGGTGGCACCAGAGGCAGCTCGCCCCAAGAGTGTGCCATTGTCCCAACCTGTTGTGGACGAGGGATGCGAAATGGTTTATAGCCCCTCACCTTCCCTGGGGGAGATGCAACTGACGTCTGCAAAAAGAGGGGCTGAGAGAAAGGAGGACTCGAGAATTGGTGGGGCAAATGTTGGTGGGTAATGAGTGGAAGTGGAAAGTGAGCTAATCATAGAGGGATTCCTGATGGCTGGAAAAGAGGAAAGGAAAGTAGAAGTTGAGGAAGAGATTAAAAGGGGGCTAGGCTGGGGCGAGGAAGTAGTGAAGGTGGCAGAAGAAGAGGAAAGGAGAAGGAGCGAGTCTGATGAGTTACTGATAGGGTGGAGATGGATCGAGTTAGAGGACCCTGGACCAAAGAGATGGCCTGCATGAAACTCCTATAGAAGAAATAGGAGGCAGAGAAGGAAACCGCCACCAAAACCCTCTTATTGGGGCGAGAGGAAAAGGAAAGAGTTGCAGAGATAAGAAAGGGAATGGGTGAGTGTCCATCGAGTCCATCTAACTGAAGGGCATAGAATGGACAATGTTGGTATACCCCAAGCAGGGCAGTCCCTTGAAGAAGCAGGTACAGTATTCTCAACCCAGACGTCAGACTCAGAGAAGCCAGTTGAAGCCCATTTTGTGTGACATTTCTAGTTTATTCTCTAGCACCAAAGGGTGCACACCCTTGATACTAGAGGATAAACTCAAGATGTTGAAAATCGATAATTGGTTGTGAATTTTCAGATTTAGAGACCCTCTTAATCCCACCAGAGTTGTGGAGAAACCCCAATTCTTTAATAAAAGTTCTTTGCACTTACCTGTGGACTGATTTGTAAAGAAGGAAATGAATGAATCGCCCTTGACCAAGCTATAATGCACTCAGAAATATCACCTTACAGCTTGTGGAGTTCTACTATTTGGCTTCTTTGGGCCAAAACACATGTTCAGAGAAAGGTATTTTTTCTCTTTCTTAGCATGTCTTCCTCCCCTCTACATGAATTGTTGGGAAGAAAACACTGTAACATTTGCTTGGTTATACCTGCTCCAGGATTAGATGAGCAAAGGAAGCTTTTTGCTTCGATTCTAGAGATCATATACTGTATATATATTTGGGACTTTACTCATCTATATTAATTAAAATACGGCCATCTTTTCCCCCTGAGAAACATTAATGGCTAATTTCCAACAATGCACTTGATGTTCAAAAACATCTTTCCACTCCAGGATCCTAATGGGGTTGAAAAACCTGCTTTAAATTGTTTCCCAGCCCTCCTACAGGTTTCTAAAATACACAAAAGACTGCAGAAAGAGGGGTGTGACATTCACCCTAAGTTACGCATTTTTCGTAAGTTTATGTTAATGTGGTTGGGAGGCGGGACCAAAGGAGGTGCTGAGGGGTGGGGCCTGGCACAAAAGATAGTCTGAGACAGGGAGAGCTAGAGAAGAGTATAGTTTGGGGGGTTTGAGGCAAAGAGAGAGTGTGTTGAAGGAGTAATTAGTCAGAGTGTGACTTGTATTAATGTAGAAGAGATTAAAGTAATATTGAAGCTTTGTGGAACTTTAAGAATGTGCTTAAGAATTATTCCTGAAACCACGTGTAATCAATAAACCAGTTTCTGTTAAAAAGTCAGTACGGAATGGAGCTTAGTCTTTCATAAGAAATATAAATTGATAAAGAGATCAACTGGTGGCAGCGTGTCAAGAGGCCTATTGGGATACCTTCGTGAGCTCTGGGTTTGGTGAAACAAGCCGGAGCCATAGGGTAAACGCCACATTCTACCACATTTGCCACATTCATGGTGAATGCCAGAAATCCTGTTTCTTGTGGAAGCAACAGGATCCAAACATTGGATTCCAGCCATAATGTGCAGCAAATAAGGCTTAGCAAATAGCAGGATGTTTCCATAATATCACTAGGCAAATTGTATGTCTGAAGAAATATTTTGTTATCAGTGCCAATGGGCAGAGAAGGTGTTACTGTAAGCTCTGGCATTTTGTGGTTAGGATAATCCTTTATGGAATGAATTACCTTCTCTGCTTTTATCCTGTGGCTTTCATATCTTAAGTTCTTTTTCATCCACACACATTCCATAAGGTATTTTTAATAATATCTAATACCCCTGTGGAGAAGGGGATTTTTGAGGAATTAGTTATATATCTGAATGTAAGGAGAGGTACAAATGGAGTGCAGAATGATTGGTAGAGGATACAATATGAATATATAGGATTAATGTTCCTAGTAATGTGTAAGGTGATTAAGAGCAAAGAATTATTCACGTTCTTTGTATCAACTGAATGTGTCTCACCTCTGCAAGCTGCTGAATCATTGAATGTTTCTCTCCTAGCAGCTGGTAGATTTCTTCATCACTATACATTGCGGACTGTAAGTTCTTGCTGGAATTAGTAAAATATTTGGCCATATGGCCAATGTCATCTTTTTGTTTTGTAAAGTCCTTCACTTCTCTGACCTGCTGAACATCAAACAAGACACAGAAATGAGTTAAACTGGTGGGAAATGGGAGAAGGAAAAAGAAAAATCAGATTTTAAAAATCAAACAAGATGTAAGAAGACAAAGGAAACGTTGTTAACCAATAATAGATTTTTAGGGCACAATACCAACCTCAGATTCCTTTTGCTCACAAACATAAAAATAATATGCTACTCTAAGTAATAATTGGTTTTTCTAAGATTCAAGAATTCAAATATTAAGTAAAATGATCTTACACATCAGTGTTTTTCTAAGCCGCAATGGTGCGGCTAAAAAATATTGTAAATAAATATAAATAAATAAATTTGAATATTAAGTAAAATGATCTTACACATCAGGTAATGTCCCTAATTCATAATGTTTGATCTTATTCTCTATCACAGTGGTGATGTATATGACTTGTATGTATGTATGTATGTATGTATGTATGTATGTATGTATGTATGTATGTATGTATGTATGTATGTATGTATGTATGTATGTATGTATGTATGTATGTATGTATGTATGTATGTATTTAGTTATTTAGTTATTTAGTTATTTAGTTATTTAGTTATTTAGTTATTTAGTTATTTAGTTATTAGATTTTTATCCTAGGGCGGCTTACAATTTTGTTCATGCCAGTTACATTAGGCAACAAAGATTTGTGCAATGGAATTGTGCAACGCGTTGCATGTCCCCAGCGTAACTGATTGCATAGCGCATCACTGAAAGCAGAATTTTTATGTGCCTTTGTTGTACAGTAGATCATTTGTGAAAATATATCATTTATGAAATCCATTTGCAAAATGGGCATAATTTTTGAAAGGACTAATGGGAGAAAGTTAACAGAGTCCAGAAAATCTTTACTGCTGCACAGTGCAGTCATTTGTAAATAAATGATCCTTTGCCCACTTACCATCCACCCTCACCCCAAGCCCCTGGCATGCATGATGGAACCTTTAGCACCCAGGAGGACATAGACATGGAAATGGAGACTCCAGATAGAGCAGAAGAGTTAGGTGTTGATAGATCCCACCTGGGTGAGGAGGTGGGGGCTGGGCCCAGCAGGCAGGGGACAGAGTAGAGTGAAGCAGAGATAGGCCCTCTCTTCTGCACCTCTGGGGAAGTGGGCTATTTACTTTCCCAGAGCCCCTGAACCAGAATTTGTGTGGAGTTCCCAGTGTCAAGGGGAAGAAGATACAGCAGTGGAGCATCAGTCTTCAGTTACCAGGATTCCTTGCCTCCGGGTCTCAGCCGATGGGGATTTCAGTGACTGGCAGAGCAGTTGGACCCCAGTCCACCTCAACAGAAGCACTGGAAGCAAAAGGGCCAGAGGCAGCAGAAGCAAGGGCTGTAGATCTCCAGTCTGTGGTGAGCAGCCAGCACTACAAACCCTCCCTAAAGGTTATGGGTGGGCTTACAGCTGTGCTTGAGACCTGATGGTACCAGTAGACTGAAAACGGTCTGAACCCAGTGCCTGGAATTCAGAGTCAGGCAGAGACTGGACTTAAACCAATGGGTATAAACTCATGAGAGGGAGATTCAACCTGGAAATAAGGAGGAAGTTCCTGACGGTGAGAACCGTTAAGCAGTGGAACAGCTTGTCTCCCAATGTCACAGGTGCCCCATCACTGGAAGTTTTCAAGAAAAGATTGAACAGCCATCTGTCCGGGATGTTACAAGGTCTCCTGCCTTGGGCACGGGGTTGGACTAGGAGACCTCCAAGGTCCCTTCCAATCCTACAACGATTCTGTGATACGATTCTATGATGAGGAACTAGTGAAGTCAACTCAGCTCTCCACCAAATTGGTGAGATGTAGTAGTGCTGGTCTTCCCCTTTCTAATACCTGTTTCTTGACCCTAACAAAATCAGATTTTAGCAGTATGAAGAGTCAGGACTTTATGGAGACCATAAGTAAGAAGGGTTTCTCCACTGTCCCCACCCTGGGCAGGGGTGGCAGCGCTCACGGATCATACAGATTAAGGGGGAGGGGGAGGGTGGATGCCATTTATGATTTCGTTTCAAAGTAGTTTCCCGGTTGTGTGGAGATGATTTTTCTAGGTGAGGCTCCTTGGACTAGATTGTACCGGGAAACAAGTCTAATAGTTTCAGTACATCAAACCAGTCTCTTTAAAATGTTTGGCAGAGTTTTTAATTTATCTTATTTTTTAAGGTCACCTTACTCAGGACGTTATTCTGTCAGCTTTGCCCCTTTTGAATTTTTGAAGCTCTGTACAGTATACTCTTCATAACTCTCTCTTATAGTCATCAACATCCAGCAATTTTCCTACCTTTTGTTTTTTGTTTAACTTGCTTTCCTTAATTTCATCCATTGAAACTGATTGGTCAGTTTTGTTTTTTTCAAGGAGTAAAAAAGAAGTTTTAAATTTAAGAAATCCAGAATGGTTCCTTATAGGATTATAGAATTCTGCACAAAATTTATGAAATACCTTTCACAGAATCCTCATTTATCAAATAAAAGTGTTGTAACTGTTTAGGATTTCCTTTAGTGGATTGCCCTAACCTTTAGAGACCTGCTTAATGGACTTAGGCAGGAGAAATGATGGTCATTCTGGGTCATCCACAACCAACTTTCCCTTTTAGATCATTCTGAAGGTGCTGCATGTCCCCACTTATCATACCTGTCTGCATTGCAGAGTGTGAATTCTTGACACTGAATTCCAGCCACTGTGTCAGATTTTATATGTTGGTCTCAGTCACCTTGTGGAGCTAGTCACACTGTCTCTTAAGGAACCATCAGGCACCAGCACCCCAGCTATACCTTTACTTATGCATATAAGCAAACACACTGACATTTTCAGAAATACAATGATTTGTGATACATTTTGCTCCATCTGGTTTCTTACCTGTGGAATAAAGATCAAGCAGTTTATCGTAGATGTACAAACAAAGATTCCTCCTGATATAAATCCAACCACCAGGTTGTGCCATAAGTGGAAAAACCAATTCACTACCAGCAGAAGTCCAGTACAGAAAAAAGTAATGGCTACTGCAACGGTGAGTGTCAGGGACTGATTAACTGGAGGACAACTGAGGTCGTCTGTTAGACCAGCAAGATAAGCTCCATATATCAACAAACTACCCTATGATCAAAAGAATAGTGACAAAATTAATTCAAGAAGCAGGTTGAACGTTTTGCAGCATTAAAAAATTAATGGCAGATTCAAACGTATGTCATACAGCACGTTGGCTGTTTATTTGATTTACAAATTTATTTGATTTTAAATCCTTGGAGGATTTTAAGGGAAGTTGATACAGTTATATCTCTCTCTCATCTTTTAAAAAAAATCTAGTGTGATAATCATATCTCTGTAGTCTCAAAGTTGCAAACAATACAGTGGTGCCTCGCTAGACAATGATAATCCGTTCCACTGAAATCGCTGTTTAGCGAAATCAGTCTAGCAAAAAGCATTTCCCTATTGGAATGCATTGAAACCTGTTTAATGCGTTCCAATGGGGAAGAATCATCATTGTCCAGCGAAGATTGGCATAGGAAAGCCACTTTGCAAACCACCGATCAGATGTTTAAATAGCTGTCTTGCAATACTTAGGTCCCGAAAACACCCGTTTTGCAAGCATGGAGGGAGCTGTCAAAATCGTTGTCTAGCGAAAATTGGTTTGCGAAGCAGGGACCAAACATTGTCCAGCGAAACACCCCCATAGGAATCACTGTTTTGCAAATCGCTATAGCGATCGCAAAAAGCCAATGTCTAGCGAAAAAACTGTCATGCGGGGTAACTGTCTAGCGAGACACCACTGTAGTTGTTTACCACTGTTTTACACCGCTGATCTGGGTTCTTGAACATTCTTCTGAAGGAGGATATAGAGAGATAGGAACAAGTTCAAAGAATTGTCACAGATGTGAAGTAAGGAATGGGGGTGGGGAGTCTTATATAAGGATAGATTGCCGGGACTGCATATGTATAGGATGAGAAGAAAAGGGCGTACATGGTGGAACCCTTCATATAGCTAAAGGACTGTCAGATGGAAGAGGACTTTTTTGGGTGCTCTCCAGAGAGCAAAGTAGTAGAGATGGCATTTTTGGAACCTGAGGACTTCCAGACCCATGATTTGCTCAGAAACCTCCCCATAGGCAGAATTATGGGAGTGAAAGCCCCTAAGCAAGAACAAATTAGAGTGATCCTCTCTATTTCCATGCCATTCCTGCACTGGGAACGGCATGGAATGGTAAGAAAATGGTAAGAAAATACCCTGTTGCACTATGGGAGACTCAATGATCTCTCTGCTTTGCAAAAGGCCATGAGAGGACTAGTCGCAATGCCATTTATAGAGAGGTAGCCTCCAACAGAACGACCTTTCCTATGGCTCTTTGGGAGTCACAAGAGATGCTTGGAACTCCCACAATGTAGTGGGACCCTTTCCTTACTGCTCAAAGAAGAAGGGGTGCAGGAATGGTAGAGAGATAGGAAGGGCTGCTTTAACTAATTTTTGTTTGGGGGCTTTTGCCCCCCCCTTGATTCTGCTTCGGAGGTTCTGGACATATTTTGGAACCAGAGGTTATTGAATTCCAAAAGTCTCATCCCTACAAACTAGTTCTAGTAGACCAAATCTAACTGTGTTGCTGTTATGCGCTGTCAAGTCACTTCTGACTTGACAGCACAGAAACTTACAGGGTTTTCAAAGTATGTGAGAAGTGCAAGGACTGCTTTACCATTGCAAAACACGCACATGCCCTAGCAAATTTCCATAGCCAACTGGGGTTTGAATCCAAGTCTCTGGAGCCCTCGTCCAATAACTCTATCCTCTACCCTACACTGGCATTCTTATGTCCTAAGTAATAGAATATAGTTGAACTTGCAGCCAGTAGTTCATTTGAAAAATATCTTGAGGTTAGGAGAGATGAGCAAACCAGCTGTGGTGGAATCTCTGTTACTGGAGGTCTTTTAAACAGAAATTGGACAGCTATCTATTAAAGATATGCTCATGCTGGTTTTCCTGCATTAAACAGGGAGCGACATTAGGAAACCTGCCCCTATGACTTACTATAATGGCAACATTTTTTTACCTAGGAACAATGATAAGAGAACAGTAAGTCTTTTAGTTTCTATAAAGCCTAAGGCATCTCTGCATAGTACTTTGATGAAAATTCTCCAGTTAGAATAGGGGGTTCCTTGGTAACTCACATCATCAGATTTAGCTGCTTTGAAGTAATGCACTCTGATGATGCAGTCAAGAGCAAATGTATTTTTGTCCAGGCTAAAACTCAGTCAGTAGGTGAATGCACTTGTGACTTTTGCAGTTGTGTTTGAAAGAAGCGTGCAGTATTGGTTATTGTATGCCTGCCTGTCCAGAGCAAGGTGAATGTACAAATATGCATAAAATATGGAATACTAAACAGACTATAATCTTCCCCTTAATATGTTAGCAGATCATTGGAATGAATTACATACCTTGAATCCCAGAAAGAGAATTAGCCAAAAATCAGAGTATAGAGACATACAGAAATACCCTTCAATTGCTATGCAAGTCATGCCTTTTTCAGTCACCTAAAAATTGGAGTATATAAAAGAAGCCTTCTGAAACATATAAAACATTCAGTAATATGTCACTTCCAGGTTCCTACAATCAAAGATATACAGTACTTTATTTTTAATGCAAACAAAACAGGAGAATGCATCCATTTGTACTATCTAGTTTTTCCAAGATAATCATTTTTCCTATTTCCTGACACATGTGAATACCAGCTTCCAGCATATTGTTTGTGTGTGTGGTTTGTCTTTTTAATCCTTTAAATCTTCCTGAGCTATCCAGTCAAACTCTGGATTTTCTACAGGTTCTTACTAGATGTACAAAGGTTAATAAGCATCTCATATTGCCAGTAATAGCTGATGTTTAAGTCAGTTACATAACTTGTAATATCCATTCAATTGTTTTAAGTGAGGTGAAACATTCAGTGGGCATACATTTGTTACTCCAATTTGGGAATCTAGGACTGCTTGCAGCACTCAGGCGATTCCTCAGTGGTAAAAGAAAGAAAGTCGTTCTTGGAATGGATTTCTGGTAACAGAAAGAGGGAGTCGTTCTTGGAATGGATTTCTGGAGTGAATTCAGAAGCTTCAGAGGTAGTGGCCTCCTCTTTCTGGGCCTTCCCTGCTGATGAGACAGTTTTGCCTCAGAAGAACCCCATTGACCTAAAGAAAATATGACTTTTTCCCAATCATATTTTCCCCACACCGTTTTGATAAATATTTTCATTAAATCACCTCATCTTAAACCTGGACTCCAATCATTTGTTTTAGAATAAAAACATCACAACTTTGATTAAGGGAAAGGTGCATAGAGGGATGTTGTCCTTCCCACACTTCACACAGAACTATCATGAGTGGGAGAAAGGACTAGTTTTTGATGCCCAAGGAGTATGGCAGAAAATTTGAAGAGGACTGCCCACTGCTGCCATACACACACAATGAATTCTATGCCACAGCATAATTCAGAGATTTGAAAAGATAAAGGAAAGGTAACCAGTACAGTACTATGTATAATGTAATTATAAATTAATCTATAATATTGTATAATATAATGGTATAATAATCTATGACACCCATAAAGCAGTAAACAATAATATATTTTTGTAAATAATACCGTTTCCCCGAAAATAAGACCTAACCTGAAAATAAGCCCTAGTATGATTTTTCAGGATGCTCATAATATAAGCCCCCCAAAATAAGCCCTATTTAAGTGAAACCCCACCCTCCACCATTGTGCAGCAACCAGAAGAAGATGACATGACTGTATTTGAATAAATGTATGCATTCCTATGGGAAATTTGGATTCGACTTATGAACTTTTCAACAAGCGAACGTCCTTCTGGAACTGATTAAGTTTGTAAGTCGAGGGCTGACTGTAGATTGTTACAGTATACATGAAAAAAAATCCCCTGAAAAGAAGCCCTAATCCTTTTTTAGAGCAAAAATTAATATAAGATCCTGTCTTATTTTCGAGGAAACATGGTAATAGTTACACACATTTCCCCTGAAATTCTGATAAATTTGTTGTTCATCTGAAGTTTTTACCTGATTTTCAGACCTGCTAAGAACCATATGTTATGCCCTGATACATAAAACCATAGACGTCCAAGAGGGTGTACTTTTTTTTTCACATGACTGTATATAAATTATGGATGGGCAGGTGGGTGTGGGTAAGACACAGGATATGCAGGACTTAGGATGGATCAGGTCTGAATTATTAAGAGAAACTGCAACTTTCCCCAAACATTTTAACTAATGGCTAAATCATTATTATACTGTTATATGTACTGTTATGGAATGCACACATACACATACACACACACAAATGCGGACGAGCGTGCCTGCTGATAGAGGGAACCACACACACAAATGCCTAATTTCATAAAATGCATTGAATTTATATATTTTATGTATTTTGACACTCAGTGATCTGTGGCTTGCTCATCTTTTATCTCTGGAATTATCTGCTCATGCATTAGTATTCATACAGTATACTGTAGTTGAATTAAGGTACCCCTTTCCCTTCACTCCGGCTTCACCCAGACAAAATGCAAACCAGCTGTATGCCTGTTTTCACTAGTTAAAATGTTGGATAAACATTGCAGCTTTCTCTTAATAATTCAAACATGATCCATACTTCATACTTCATACCCAGTTCTCCAGTCTGCCTCTTCTGTACATCTTACCTGCATATCTACAGTAAGCCACTGGAGACACTGAACTGGGTCCAAGAATATCCATATCAAGAGAAGGATGATATCAACCAGCACTACCACTGATACCATAACCAGCAACTGAAAATCTTTGATAATCTGCAATACAGACACTCAAAATATTAATGTTCTGTGGCAAGATTACGTTTTTTTGCATACACCATACATGAAGATATGCAAGTCTGGAGTTCTTACATCAATAGATGTTTCCTTCAGATCTTAAAATCCCCAAAGAGGTATGATCAAATCACACAGTAAAAAGAAAATGTATTATGATCATTGTAACACTGATTAATAATTAAGTCCATTACATTTTTAAACATCCAGTCAGAATAGTGTAGTAATTTATCAGCTGAACATAGCTCACTGTCACAAACTGTTGTTGGAATATTTAATGCAAATTAAATGATGTCTTAAAAACTGAATGCCCATTACCATCTCTAGAAATGAAGTAATGATCTAGGCTTCAAGGCAAAGAACTTATAACCAAAGTGGCAGGAACCTGGGGTAAAAGTGGCTGAGCCACAGGAAGTGACTGTACCATGACAGGGAAGGGGTGAAGTCCAGAAACAACAGAACAGCTTCCTTGGTTATATATTGATCTGAAAAATATATGAAAGGGATCCAAATTCCCAGAAAAAGAGTAGGGAAGGTGGATACCGACAAGGCAAAATTCTAGAACATATTACTAAAGGATCTGGGAACATAAACAATAATGCATTATGGACACCTGGCTGGATGAAGCTGGGAAACTCAAATCTGTTCCAGTTCTGCCTCTCTGGAATCTCTGTGCAGCAGCAGGCCAGGTGCTGGGACAGGTATAAAGTAAAGGTAAAGTTTCCCGTTTCCAAGCCATAGAGCCAGCGTTTGTCCAAAGACAGTTTCCGTGGTCACGTGGCCAGCACGACTAGACACGGAATGCTGTTACCTTCCCACCGTGGTGGTACCTATTTATTTACTCACATTTTTACATGCTTTTGAACTGCTAGGTTGGCAGGAGCTGGGACAAGCGACGGGAGCTCACTCCATCGCGTGGATTTGATCTTACAACTGCTGGTCTTCTGACCTTGCAGCACAGAGGCTTCTGCGGTTGAACCCGCAGCACCACCACATACATCCCTACATGACGGTTATAGGCAGGTGGAACTGCAGTGGTCTGTTAGGATTCAGTCCTCCTCATCAGGTGCCCCATTCCACACTTTCCTGGGTTTTCATGCATATATTTGAAAGGGGATGCCTGAAACAGGAGTCCTGTTGGTATGTCACCACACTGTTCCAGCCACCCTTCCTGAGATAGCCACAGATGCTGGAGTGCCTTCAACTTGTGTTTGGGGAATTTAAACATCCGTTCCAAGATGACCCTGTCAAGAGTGGCTCAGAACTTCACATTCACCATGATAGTGATGGGGGAGTCCAAGTGATATTTGGTCTCACTTATGTAACAGGTCGTACTCTGATTCTGGTCTTTGCCAAGTAGGCTGAAGTTGGACGGTTATGGAGCAGCTCTCTATAGTTCTGTTGTCATGAGGACATCACTACCATCTGGGGTTTAACTTTACTGGAACTCAAAGCTTCTATGGGGTGGAGAAGTTATTATGATGGTCCACCCCAGAAAGCTGATGGATCCAAATGGTTTTCTGATGGGCCTTCAGGCATTTCCTATTGCCTTAGAAGTGTGGGCTAGTTAGCAATCTTAATGTAAATTTCAAGATATGGGAGGAAGGGCCTCCATCACAGACTAACTTGTTTGCTTGTTTGTTTGCATGCTAACTAATCAGAGGGGTTTGTTTTTGCCAGGCTAGATAAGCTCCGCCCTTGTTTCTTCCTTTCTCCTCCTCACGCCTTTTGAGAGACTCTGTTTTGTCTCAGACCCTTTTTCACCTTGGAAGATGCTAAATCTCCAGGAGGATCTCTGAACCCTAGAGATCCTCCCAGCCACATGGGCTGAGGAAACAAACCTTATTTTTACTTTTTTTATTATTTTCTATCAACTTTAAACCTAATGAGTGCCTCTTTTAGAAATGGACGTTTAAGTGAGTAAAATACACAAAACCTTTTATACTTAAAGATCGCCTCCTGAGTCTTATTTTCTAAAGTGCTAGGCTTTAGTGAGTGTGGATACCAAGAACAATTGGGTAAAGGAGGGGACTTCTACAGCTAATTCTAATTTTAAGCAGCTGGCCTTCTGCTGTGCATTTTACCGGAACTTAAGCAAGTTCCCAGAACTCTCAACAGGAAAGTGATCCTGTTGACACCCTGGTTCATCTCTAGAACGGCAAAATGAGCAAGGTGATGGATATTGTTGTTCCTAAGTGTCCCCTCCTGCAAAGTGAAGCTAAGTGAGCCTTGGCTACTGGGAAGCTAGTCCTGATGAAATGAATAGGATGAAGTGAGAATGACAGAAAACTCTGGAGATGGTCTAACTAGTCAGAGGCTAGAACCCATTGAAAGCCTTACTCCGTCGTGGTTTGGGACAGCAAATAAGTTCTTTTCTGCCGGAACCCATTGAAAGCCTTTTTGGGACAGCAAATAAGTTCTTTTCTGCCACTGTTTTCTCTCCACAGAGTCAGAAAGTAAAGGTGTTTTGAATGATCATGGGTCTGTTACTCTCTGGCCCACAAAAAGAGAATTTGGACCACTGAACAGTGTCATGTGAGAAATGTGCATGACCCTTTTTGCTGATAAAATCTCTAGACCTGCTCTGACTTGGTTGCTATAGTTACAGGTCCTGTGGTTGTAACTGTGGCCACTGCTTGTCCTGTTTTAATGGATTCGTTTCAGTGTGCACATCCTGAAAATATGGACAGCATCCCTGCAGAGTTGCAAGCAGGCACGTGTCTGCTAGATCCTTTCCCTTTGTGGTTCATAAAAGGCTGGGGGGAAGGACTGGTGAGTGAAGAGAGCAGTGAATTCTTTTCTAGATCAAAGCAGAATTCTACCCTGCCTAAAAGAGATGGTTGTGATGTCTTTACTGAAAAAGATATCTCTATATTCCACTATACTGGATAACTAGTCGCAACACTAGCTTCCAGTTTTTGGGAAGTTGTTGGCACATGTCGTGCTTGCAGCAGCTCCAGATATTTCTGGAGGACGAAGATTATCTAGATCCTTTAGGATTTGGCTTTAGGGTGACAGAACAGGTTGGCAGGCAAAAACTGGCCTTTCAAAGCAGGCCTTTGGAAAGTGCCTTTTATTAGTGAGTTTAGTGGGGCTGTAATATATTTTACTGTTTTCTGTGTTTGTATATGGCTTTTATCTCCTTTTATTGAGCAGCTTTTAACATTATTATGTTCAATTTTATTTTAATAGTTCATTGTGATTTTAATAGTTTGTCTCTTTTAGTTACTGTAAGTCACCTTGGGTCACTTTTTGGGAGAAAAGTAGGACAGAAATAAAGTAAATAAATAAATCTCCTTTAAAAAAAATTTTTTATAGAATTATTGTAATGGAAATATTTTTGAACACAGTATATTTCTGTTATCCATGAGCTCGTTGTCCAACCAGAGGGAGCCCTTGAAATAAGTGCTGAATGTGAGAACTTACCACTCTCTTATCTGGAACCTGTTGAGTGAACACTTTATACAACCGCCAGCTTTTTCCTAGGATGGGGCCAAAGGCCAGGGAACTTCCTATACACAACAAGCAGAGTCTTGCCTGTGGAGGTATAGTTTGGAGGTCGAGAGAAAGAAGAAAGAAAAATCTGTAAGAGCCAAACTGGATATACAGTAATATGAAAGATCTGTCAAAAGGGTCTCCTGTTGTTTATAAAAACATTGATCGCAGCTTTGGAGGGGTGGGGTTTCTAATTAGATCAAGAACGTGGTGCTAACTCCATTTCCCTGCCCGAAAGCGGTGCTCCAACCTGACTTAACCAGCTATTTGCCTCATGAGAAAAACAAACAGAAACACCCTTCTTCTTCCATTCATTATTTGATTTGAAATGCTCACCTGCCTAGAGAATGAAAGCCCCAAAGCAGTGAAATGCAGCTGAAACTCACAGGTTGTCTGCTGCTTTCTACGAATTATGGCCACTGTCCTGCTTTGATAAAAAGTTGGCGTTGGCATTGGCTAAAAGGTGCATTAACGTATTAAATGGTGAACAGTTCGCCTAGTCTTAATGGCCAGTTCTTAATGGCCTCTCACTTTTTTGTTTCCTACACTGACAAATGGTATCCCAAAAGAGATGTATAGGTGCTTGATAAAGGCTGTTGAAATATAGCAGTTATATCTAACAGATAACGAGCAGTAAAATTGCCTCTGTATGTTGCCTCCAGAAGCACAGGCAGTAGATCTCTCTCACCCAAGAACACATAAAGGTCAATGCCTCAGAAATTCTATTTTTACCCTCCTGATAGGCAGAATGAGTACCCCTAGTAGAGTGATACACTAGGCATATGAGAGGAAGGAGCCATTAATGGCTATCCAGCCTTCCAGTCATCCTTCCAACCTTAGTAACGAGCTGGAAAAGGAGATTAGATAGTTGTGGGCTATGTCGCTTTTCAGCCATTTTGCTCTTAGATCTTGGGATGCTGGTGCTTACTGTTAGATTAGTCTGTCAGGGAACAGTAGAACATCAGTCACCGATGTATAAGTTATCCATTGTTTATGACGGGAGCAACATCTCTTGATTTACATCCCTGAGACCAGTATGGATGAGCCGAGAAGGAATTTCCTGAGTTGTGTCTCCTTGTTCTTGGGCTAGTGCTAATACAGGGACACATCTTTTTCTCATTCCTTTCTCTATGTGCTCTACTTTCCAGTGTTTGTACCAGATGTTGGACTCTGGGACAGATGGTGAATTCTACTCTACTGCCTACTTACTTTCAGGGAAACAGGTCGGAAAATAATGGAATACTGATGGAGGAAATTTATGATATTGTAGACTTGAAACACTGGCTCATTCTTGTGCCAGTTCTGTGTCAGTAAAGGAGGCAAAGAAGCAACTGACCTCTAGTCTCTGTGTCATTCAACAGTTGTTGTTTTTTAAATAGTGCATGCCTTTTTTTTTCATTTCAGGAACAGGGGAGATTGGACAGAACTCAGTACAGTATATGCAAAGCACTGAGCTAAAGCAGTGGAGTTGTCCCAAATATCAAAAATCCAGTTCTGTTGGGTGATTTGCAGGTAGTGATTCCTGAGAATGTGTTTCCACAAGTTGTCTATGTTTCGGCCCCTGACCGTGCTGCGTCCATGGCTGTTCATTTAACAAGGAAAGGGATTGGATTCCAAAGTATGCAAATGTTTTCTTGAGATCAGGCCTACCCCCATCCTCTCTGAAAGATGCTAAGGGGAAGAGGCAAATAGCCAGAAAAATACAGTATTTAAAGGGGACCGTGAGACTTCCTGCTCTCTGGAGGAACAAGGGCTACTGCCTACTGCATATGGCAGCTAAGCGGGAATAAAAGAAAATAAGATTTAAGAATTAGAGAGGCTGATAGAGTTTGTCTTGCTAGTGGCAGTACAATATCCAGGGAACAACCAGGGATTTATTTGCTCTGATTTATTTGTTCAGACCCAGCTTGGTGCCAGTGAGCCTACATCCAATTGTTAGTCCTGCCAAGAATAGATTCACTGAATCAGTGAAGAGCTTGCAGCCTCCCCCCTACACCATTTCAAGGAGTGCAGGCTCAAGGCAGGTCACAATCAGTGTTGCCTGCTGTCAGATGTGTTTTTACATCCACTTAAGTCAAAGAATTAAATAAATAAATCAGCTTATTCTACTGTATTATTGAATCTTCTTCGATAGTATTAAAATAAGTATCAACATCCATACATTTGAATAGCACTTTTGATTATTGATGTATACCAGCTAAAGCATTTACAATTTTTAGTATTATAAAGGCAATTATAAAATAATACAGGCAATATTACAAAATAAATGAAAGCATAAAATGAATATATTAAACAGAGGGAAATATGTAGGTTTCCCGACACATTTCCCTTCAGGCAGAGCAAGCTTTAGATCAAAATCTTGTGGAGCCCTAGGAGGTGGATTATCAACAAACCATAAATCTAGTGGTCTCCTCCACCCCTTGGTCAAACTTTTATGCTAGTTTTGAGCTGTTTGGGGCCCTCAAAAGCTTCACTGGCAAATCTTGACTGCATGTTGTAATGGACCATCTATAAGGGAGTGCAGGAGATTAGGGTCATTTTCACTCCTAAGGGATATTCAGCTGTTATTCTGGCTGCTTTAGTTAGTATGCCACTAGGGGTACCTCCAGCCATGCAGTATGACACATCTGCAGAAGAGGAGGTTCCTGTTGGTCAGCTGGAGGCGCACCACCCAAGCAAGATGCCTTAAAGTGATAAGGGGGGGTTAGGCTGGAGAGGTTTCATGGATTTACCAAAGAAAGATGGATAAAGTTCTGCTCTATCAGCACAGAGAGCCAAGGCGATATTGTAAATAGAATGACAGACTAGAACTCAAGAGACATGCGCTCCAATTTCGGCTCACTCCTGGAAACTGACTGGAGGGCTTGGTAAAACTAAATATAAACAGCTCAAATATTGAACCCCATATTAGGGCCACAGTAAGTCATACATAACTTGACAGCACATAAGGCACATGCAGGGCACCACATAATCCAGGATCTCTAGTGGCAAAAAGCAGTGAAAACCATTGACATAGGTTTGGAGGAGACAGGGGCAGGATTTAATTTTTCTCCTTTTATTCTTGGGAAGGCTGTACTGCCATCCTAATCGTGTTCATGCCTGATTGTTTTTAGCATTCTTTTGACTGAACAATCACGAGGGGACTCGAATCAACAGATGTCTTGGTCCCCTTTTTCCTGATCATTTCAGAGGAACTGAGCCCATGCTAACAGCCATTCCAGGATCCATAGACTTAGGTAAACCGCTACTTCTGCACAGATCTGCTCTGTCTGAGACTAACAATTTCAGTTAGCCAGGTGTCTTCCTTTGCAGGTTGCCTGTATTTCCAGTACAACAAGAATGCTCTGTATGGCCAGGCATTATGGCATCCGTGCATCTATTTCCTAAAAATGCCTTTATTTCCTTGGCAAATCATTCTCCTCCCAGTTCTTTCTTCTCTACCCCCATTTTATCCCCGAAACACTAAGGTGTAGGTTATATTGAGAGAGATCAACTTCATGTGTGAATGGAATTGGGCCACCAACTTTAAAGTGTTATTTATTGTATTTATTGTTATTCTTCTTTGAGGAAACTCATCATAGAGTGTAGGGAATTCCCAGGAGCTCCCTTCCAGAACAGTTCAAAACCTAAGCATTCACAGACAACGGAAAACATTTGTGTTCAGGCAATTTTTTATATTCATTTGTAATATAGCTAGATGCTTTCTGCCTGTTGCCTTTGTATGTGTTTATAATGCTTTTATTCTTTTAAATCTGTTTTTAGATTATTTTTAAAGAATCATGTTTAATAACTTCTTAATTACAAGTTGTAAAAGGTATTTTGAAGTTCTGAAAGTGAATACTCCTTGCTAGGGCTGGGGGTGAGGAGAGAAATCTAGATGCATACAGGGGAAGTATCCCCACACCTCTCTGGATTCCACCTAATTGGCTACAAAAATGTGCTACATCCAATATGTTGTTACAGTAAGCCACATGGTTTTTCCTCCTAGTTTGCTTTCACCCACCTGAACAAGCATCTCCATGGATGATTTGGTCATTGAATTCTGTATCTCAATTCCAAAAAGATATGCGCTGCTGTAAGTCAAGCCACTGCCCAGGAGAGTGACAATATTCAGGTTGGGACTGGACATCTTCACAAGCCTCAAGCCAAAAAGGAGTTGAAAGAACATAGGGACAAGAGTTATTGGATGAGGAGGTAGGGCTGCCACATTCTTCCTACCCATGTGAAGAGATGCCACTCTGGCTGTGCTCTATCTAAGATTGTTGTTCAGTGCTCTCCTTCTGTCTGTGAAAAGCTAAGAGCCAAAAGCACGTGTGATTGGTACTGTATTTCCTTAGGCAGCTTTGTAGGTCAATGAAGTGATACTCAGGCACAGGGTATTTGACCCAGTGTAAACCACGCTTACCAAAGCAGCACCCTGGAAAACTTCTTTCTGCTGATTATTTCAGTTGTCAACAGCAAACATTGCACCCCAGTATGTATTACGTCTTTCCTGCTGCCTTGGATATATGGAAGCAAAAATCATGTAAGATAATTTAATAATTATATAATTCATGTCACTATATATGGTTGCCGTGGAGTGGAAATCATTCAGAGGGTTTTCCATACAAAGATGGAAAGACCAAGTGTGGAAAATAGCACTCACAGAAAAATGGACAAGCACATACAAGTCCGAAGGAGAAGAGATGTATTATATTTGTTTTATGAATGAAGGCCCAAACTTGTTTGTTCATTCCAGTTAAAGTAGGCCCACTGAATCAGTGGAATTTATGTATGTGTCAGTGGTCTGCTCTACTTGGAAATAACTTGGATTTAGGTCATAGTTTCCATTTATAGTGTTCATAAACAGAGACTTCATACTACTTAGACCACACATTGCAAATCAGAAGTTTTAGACAGTTTATTTTTTTGTTGGACGTGATATTGAGTTCAAATCATAAGTTTAAAGCCTTAGCCAGATTCCAACAATCTACCTTAGCACATTTCTGAAAGTGCTCTTTCTCACCCTCAACTGGAGATGGTGTGAACAGATTATATCCTATCATTGATCTACAGCCCTTACAAATCCATCGATATGTTTATGTTAGTCCTTTGTGAACATGACCTGTAGTATTATGGTAGAGAGGAAGAAATCCAAATCTACTTTCTCCATAGAATGTGTCTCATATCATGCATCTTTCATGTCTTCCTCCGCTTATTTTTCCTATACTAAAAAAATTGTGATGTACTGGATAGATTGATGAACTAGGATTCAAGAGGCCTGAGTTCGAATCCCCTCAGCTATGGAAACTCACTGGGATTGTGAAACTGGTAAAGCCACTCCTGAAATACCTTACTTACCTTGAAAGCTCTATTAAGGTCACTGTAAGTAGGTTCCAACTTGATGGCACATGACAACAAAACCCCCGTACACAGTAACATCTCCTGATTGGGAGAGTTTCTGTAGCTCTTCAAATACTTTGGTTCCCCTTTTCAATGTTACACCATCCTTTTAGTTGACCTGAAATGCATATAGTACTGCAGGTGTGGTCAAATGATCTATTTATATAAAAGTATGAAGATGTTCTCCATGCATCTAGATTGGTTGCATACTAAGCACAACCCCAAAAATCTTTAAAAGGAAAGAAATCGGCCTTCTGTTCTTTTATAGTTTCTTTTAACTTTTCTGTTTAACAATGCAAGTAACTTTTTGACCTTGGTAATGTTAATGTGATCCATCCTATGTCATAAAAGGTTATTATGTTTAATCATCCAAATTAAGGTAATGGCATTAAGGTCATTGGGCTAAAGCCAAGTTTAGTCCCGCTGAACTCAGTCAGATTTGTTAGTCAGCACCACTGTAAGTCTCATTGATTTCAGTGGGTCTATTCTAACAGGGACTAAAATAGGTTTTAGTCTCCCAAGCTCAATTTACCTATAGTTAGAGCAAGTTTTCAAAATCATTCCCAAAATTATTATATCTTGAATCTAATTTCTCGCTGCATTGTCCTCTATCCAAAGGACAGCATCCAGGAGCTCTTAAAATGTGGAACTTAAAACGTTCCAATACATAATCCAAATTAAGGTTACATGAGCAGGTCGTCCTATCCTGATATGTCTGATATCTGGGTTTTGTTTTTTTCATTTTCTCCTCAAGCAGTCTCAGAATTTACATAGTGTTTTTTTTTCATACCATACTGACATTGTCAAATTAATTATTTCTGCATTATCTTTATTTTACATTTGGAGACTATAGTCTAATCTATTAAAAAGAGGGAACCCAAGTGAATACTTAAACTAAATCATCAGTTTACAGTCAGTTTTAGTAGCTCCTTATCCTGCTCTTACTCTTCAGTAGCATTATTAAATCTGAGGGCTAATGTCAGTGACTCTGTAAATATAGCAATAAGCAGGGGAAGGAGAATAACCTAGGTCCACCTATAAAATACATTCTACGTTATTATTTATATTTTATTTATTGGAAGTTTGAATGTCAAATTAATCTCAATAAGAAAATTCTGTTTTAAAACAAATGCCTCTAATACCAAGAACAATTAATTCCATTTTGCAAGACATCTCAGATGGGTGGTTGTGTCTTTTTAAGAAACTGACCTATTTTTATTATGTGCATTATGAAATTTCATAACTGCTTCATGAATCTCAGAAATTAAAAGTCTTCCTCTAAATCTTTACCCTCTTGGGTCTCAGGGAATGTATTTCTCTGAAATATTATTGAGTGTCTTGCTAAAGATATCGCAGTCTACATTTGGTAATCCTAAATCTATTATATTAGACTTCAAAAATATATATTTTTAATTAACATAGCTACAATAGACAAACACATAAGGGTGAGTGAAAATGCCACTTCTGCAGTCCTTCCCCACCCATTGTCATGGGTCATTAACGGGTCTTTCCAATGGGTGTGGTCCTCATCTTTCTGGGGACAATGAAAGGGCAACATGATAAATAAGGCCTCTACCTTGTTGAGTGAGGGATTTTCTATATGCGGGTCTTTCCAATGGGTGTGGTCGTTATCTTTCTGGGGACAATGAAAGGGCAGCATGATAAATAGGGGACAGATTGTATCTAAGGCCTCTACCCCTGTTGAGTGAGGGATTTTCTATATGCACATGCATGACCTTCCCGACCCCTCTCTCAAGCCACCTCTCTTCTCAATCCAAAATGAGTACATCTTGGTCATGAAATAAGTATCCTTTGTCCTTCAAATGTAAGAACACTGCTGATCTGTTTAGAGGTTTATTCCTCAGAAAGATGAGGACCACACCACCAGAAAGACCACTGTTAATGACTGTTAATGACCCATGATAATGGGTGGAGAAGAATTGCAAGGACATTAGATGTCCTTTGTCCATCTAATGTCCTTTGTTCATCAAATGAGCCTATTCAGACCAGGGGGAAGTGAAACCAAAGTGGAGAATATATCAGGTGGTCTTCCTACCAACTCTCCTCAGACTGAAGAAGCTACTTGGATGAGTAACTTTAACCTAATAAGAAAGTTGCCATGACGCAACTTCCAGATAATCTCACTTGGATGACTGAGAATCTTCACAGATATATTTAAGGAGTGGTTTTGCCAGTTCCACTCACTCCCTAGTGAGTTTCCAAAACCTGTTCTCCAGAGTCCTAGTCCATCACTCTATCCACTACACCATGCTAAGCATCCATATGTGACAAGTATCCTTGACCTTTTGGAGTAGGATATTAAAGTTACCATGCATGTGTATATATGAGAAACAGGCCTTTTGGGGGAGAAAGAAACTTCTACTTTCTGAGATGGGATCAGTTTACCCTATTAAAAATACCTTTTTATGCAAATATGGTCACAGGGTCACAGGTTATGTGGCTATTATAAAAGGGGGGCATAATTCAAAAAAATATTCTTGACCTTTTGGAGTGGGATATTAAAGTTACCATGCATGTGTATATATGAGAAACAGGCCTTTTGGGGGAGAAAGAAACTTCTACTTTCTGAGATGGGATCAGTTTACCCTATTAAAAATACCTTTTTATGCAAATATGGTCACAGGGTCACAGGTTATGTGGCTATTATAAAAGGGGGGCATAATTCAAAAAAGGTTGGGAAACACTGCAATACTGTATTCTACTTTGGAAGGCTTTAAAGTAAGTGCCTCATTTAATTATAATTGCCCTATTATTTAAGGTAGGGTGAGAGATCAAGGCAACTCAGATATGAAAATATTAACAAGATAGTCATAAAATTCAGCAGACTCATTCTGTGGCCTTTGATCTTTTCACTACTAATCACAGGGTCAAGACAAAAGAATGTTATTCCAAAACTGGTGCATAATGACCGGTGATAACTGGTGCCCTTTATTGTCAGGGGGCAAAAGACATAGCAGCCAATTATGGGTAAAGTTAGAGTTAACAGGCAGAGCAAGAGGTAAAAGTGGGTATTCATTTCATACATACATCCAGGCATTCACATGCACACATTTATGATCATACACAGATTCAATCACATACAGAGGCAGAATGACAGGTGTTCATTGAGATATTCTCTCACTCCTCCATCCAATTCTTTCATTGCACATCTGTGTTCATTGAGATATTCTCTCCTCCATCCAATTCTTTCATTGCACATCTCTGCCATAAATGTAGACATGTTCTACTACCTCCTGCTGCTTTTTCCCCCATGCCTGGTCAGTTGTTTTATTCACTCACATTTATTTGATCACCTTCTTTCCTGTCAATCCAGCACTCTTTCATTCATGCACCAAAAATATAAGAGTGTCCTAACTGAGCAGATTTCAGTGTTTCTATTTCTTTCCTCTAGATCCTGCCCACTCACCACTGTAGCTGCTGTTCTGTCTTCTGGATCCTGCCCCAAACATCCTCCTTGCTGTTTTGCGCTCTTAGATCTTACCCTCACCCATCCCATATTCATGAAAAGACTGCACTCCCAATACAGATCATTAAGAGGAGTGTTCTCTCGCTTGCCAAGAACAGCGAAAGAAACAACTGCAACAAGCAAACCAAGCAAGACCGTCAATGCTTGTATAGCACTTCTTCTGCACTTCAGGAAGACACAATGAAAGGCATTGGTGAGCCAAGGCAGTTTTTTCTCTTTCTGTCTCCCACAAAAGGAAAAGTGGGGAAGAGAGAGAGAAGAAAACACATATCTTAATTGTGGAAATGCAACCCTGTGCACGTTTTCCAGGGAAGAAATGCCACTCAGCAGTGGAACTTATTTGCAAGTATACAGACACACAAAGGCACAAGAATTGGGGAGTGGGGTTAATGGAGAGAGAGAAAGAGAGCTTTCACATGTGTGTGTATACTTTTTAAAAATGTTACCTCCTGCTCTGGCATGGCAAAGGCAAGCCCGTTTTCCACTGCTACCTACCTTTTTACCCAGCAAACAGCCTCCAATCCCAGGATAGAGGATGAGGGAAAGAAGGCAATCTGCTCTTTAATCTCAACCTCAGTGCAAATCCAAGGCACACATTTACAGCTGTTGAATAAAAATCATGCCGTCCTCCACCGAGTGTGAGGTTTAGAAACAGAGAAACAAACATTGCTCAAAAAAAACCCTATCAGTAATGTCAATGTAGCTGCAGCGGCAATAAGTCACAAAAGCAAATTGCTGCTAATTGCTGCTTATAGTATATCCCTTGTCACATATCAACTCACATGACTAGCATGTGACCTGAGATACAAACAGTCACTTCTTAACCCCTTACAATTTATTGTTGCACTTATGCCACTTCACTGATGTCATTGTAAGTAACCAATATGTTTCTAGTCTTTGTTTCTGCAATGTGCCTTGTTTTTTACTCATATATCCATATATTATGCTCAGAATATGAACGCAAAAAAAGTGAGAATATTTTTTAAAAAAACACCTTTTGGGCAATAAGCTTACTGCCTACTGGCTTTCAGGGTTATTGATCTGGAGGCAGGAGAGTGATCATCACTATTTTATTATCAGTGGGAACTTTGTTGTCAAATATTTGGTATATAAACGTAAGAGGCACATATCTGCTCCTTTTTCAGTCTGATGTTACAGCATTTTACTGGAAGAAACCTTCTTCTGAAGTAAGAAGATATTTTATTTTCAGCAATTCCAGAACAATAAGAACCACAATTCTTATATCAGTTTGTCTGTCTACTAAAAATATCAACCCAGCAAGCTCCTCATCTTACCTGTTGTTTCTGAAGCGAATTGTGAAGACGAGAAAGAAGGAGCTCAACAGGACTCCACTGGTGAGAAAGACCAACACGACCCCCAAGAGGGCAGCAGAAAAAGATGGCGAAGAATTCTTACAACTGCTCTCCGAGAATGCCTATGGGGAGACAAAAATGTGCATCAGTAAACAAAACCTTTAAGAAACTCTTATTTCTAAGTAAGTTAAGGTTAGAAAAACCTAACTCTCTCTTTGAGACAGATTGTGCTGTTTCTGTGAAAACAGCAATTGAATGGAATTCCCCTCATAGCCTTTCCTGCATAATTCTGAGGCAAGAAATAAAGGCTGTGATTTAATATCCGAAGCTTCTATGTTCTTCTGCTTAGAATGTACTATCTTACTTATTTGCATGACACAGAAGTCATACCTGGGAAGTTACTTTGGATTTTTACTTCTTTGGTACTTGCTCAGCCCATGTTGGAATAAAGCCAGAAACTGAGGTACAGATAGGCTGGAATTACTATAGCTGAATGTTATTGTTAGAGAAAGATGACTGAGGCAATGTTTCAAGTTTGTGAAATCAGACTTCAAAAAATTCCTGTGCTTAAGTCTTAAAGACCAATTACCAAACAAAGCAAAGTAATTTGTATTCTCCTGGAGAAGTAAGAAGCTTCTGCTGCAACATTCTGATGGATGCTTTTATTACTTTCTTTTTTATAATCAAGGGCTATTTTCAACATTTTTCCCCTCCACTTGGGTAACACCTGAGGCTCACACATTCCTTTCAAACCACATCTGAGATAAGGAGGAGGACTTCTGCTTAGTTGTACCTTCTCAGAAAGTTGGCTTGGCAGTACATTCAAACTAGCTCTGGATAAATAGAAAGTCTGGTTAATCAGACAATCCAGGGGTTACGTCCGCCTATTAGCCATAGTTAGAACAGACCAACTGAGTGAATGTCTTGTGAAATATGAGTCCTATTGATTCAGTTGGTCTATTCTTGTTGATGACTTGTTTTGTAACTGAGGATAGTTTATTTTAAACCAGTGTTTTTTAACCTTTTTGAAAGAAATGCCCCCTTGAGCCATTGAGGAAGTTATCATCGCCCCCCTCCCCGCGGTGATGATACCGCAGTACATTCAAACTAGCTCTGGATAAATAGAAAGTCTGGTTAATCAGACAATCCAGGGGTTACGTCCGCCTATTAGCCATAGTTAGAACAGACCAACTGAGTGAATGTCTTGTGAAATATGAGTCCTATTGATTCAGTTGGTCTATTCTTGTTGATGACTTGTTTTGTAGCTGAGGATAGTTTATTTTAAACAAGCATCTCGTTTCAGTGACAAGTCTGTTTTCCTAGAAAGATACTCAGCAGGAGCCATCGGGGAATTGAAAAAAGAAAAAGGAAGAGAAGGGAATGTAGGCCCAAGGTTTCACTTGGGGTCATTCAGCTTGTGCCTACTGTACAAGCTGAACAGACAGGACGGTTTGTACATGGTTGCATGCAAATCAAATTGTCTGCAGTATTCATTTGTAAGTGGACTGTGGCAGACTTTCAAATCTGAATAACCAACTTATTTCACAAATCTAATAGGATTCATGATTTTCACTTGGAAGGCATGGCAACAGAAAATGTAATAGAACTAGAATAAACAACAAATCACAACAGAGATAACAAATACTTATTGGGCTGCTCCCGTCCTTTCTTCTTTGCTATGGTTTTGCTTTGTAAATACCCTATGCAAAATTCTTGAAAGATGGCAGCATAATTTTGGTGTCTCCATAATCTTAAAGATCACTAATGCTCAGAAGGTCAAGTTACAGAGCCAGGTATAGGTGGGGCCCTGAAACTTGGATGCGCATTCAGTTGGCACTGGAGAAGAGAGGAGAGGGGAAGCAGCACTTACACATTTCCTAGAATTGTTGAAGATATTGAAAGATTACACCAAATGCAACACCCTTGAGGACACTGGAGAGTTTCAGGAAGAGAGAAATCTATCCATCTATGTATCTAGATTATAAAGAGTTATTAATCAACTATTATTATTGGAAACAGCATACAAGGAAGGTTACCTTCAAAGATATAACATCTTATTTATGTTTACCCACAGTTTTTATAGTACAGAGATCCTGCAGGGTCTTCTGCTGTTGTTCTTGGGTCTTGAAATCCAAGCCTTTGTCGCACAGGTTGGAGTAATTGAAACCAGTCTCCATAGCACATCGCAAGCCTTTATGCAACCACATGATCGACCAGTGCTGTTGTAGAACACAAGTTATCCCAGGAAGCTGAAGTACAAGTATATCCTGTAACACTAGGAATTATTTGAAACACATCCCTCTACCCTTAGGTACGAGGTAACTGGAGATCATAAGCAAAACAAAAAAGTTAAAGAAGCATTGTAACAGTTATTTACAATGTTATTTACATTAGGACCACAATACTGGCAAGTGATTCGTTTCAAACCGAACCCCTACAGATGCTGAAAACCATGGATTATAGCAAGCCCTATACATAGCCATGTCAACCCTATACAAAGTACTTGGCTCCCTCTAGTGACCGGTTCTGATAACTATATCATGAAAATACACATAAATACAGTACATATTCTGGGGGAGGGATTGGTTCATATTTTCAGCCAGTGGATAAATGGATCCATTGGTACTGATTCCATGTATAAGTGTGTGTGGGGGTCCTTCTGTATAAATGGCATTGTCACTAATGAAGCAGCTAGGTTAAAGTCAAAAGGATGGCAAGTGTCTAATGTGCACAGAAGTGAACAGAAGATCTGATGCTGCCCAACAGTTATATTTGGATCATAGAACATGAGAAGTATGAATCAAAATATATTGGAAACTGTGAAGAAAGAAATCAAATGTTTACGGATTCGAGTATTTGGAGCCACTGAACTAAAGTGTACTGAAATAGGACATTTTTAGTCAAGCAACTACAAAACATTTTACTCTGGAAATGACGAAATCAAAAGCAATAGAGTGGCTCTAATGCTGAGGCAAGATGTCTCACAAACAGTTAACTGGCTTTAGTGTAAAGTCTACCCAAATCATATCAAACAGACATTGTGGAAAAACAACTGATATGACAATCAATCAAGTCTATGCTCTCAAAATAGAGGATGAAAAATAAATCAAAAGCTTTTATGAGGAGGAAAGTGATCATATACCAAAGCAAGATATGCTGATATTCGCAGGTGACTAGAATGCAAAAGTAGAAAAACAAAGCAGAACTGAATGTTGTTAAATAATCAGAAACAAAGTAGGAGAATAATTCCTAGAGTTCTGTGAAACCAACAAACTTTTAATTGCAAATACGTGCTTCTGTCATCCATACAGACAACTCTCTCTATATAGACATCACCAGCTAGCCAATTTATACATCAAATAGACTACATCATTGGAGATTTTTTTGGCTCACTCCGTTGCATGGATTCGATCTTACGACTGCTTGGTCTTCTGACCCTGCAGCACAAGCTTCTGCGGTTTAGCCCACAGCGCCACCACGACAACTCTCTCTCTATAGAAATCACCAGCTAGCCAATTTATACATCAAATAGACTACATAATTGGAGATTTTTTTGAAGATTAATCCTATGATGAAGAGCCTGGATTTTTAGAAAGCAAAGTGAAAACTGTTCTTAAACCATTTGGAGGAATAAATCACTAGGGGTAGATGGCATACTGATGGAACTATTCCAAGTTACACAGGCCAAATCTATCAAAATCCTAACAACACAATGCCAACAAATATGGAAAACAAAACAATGGCCAACAGACTGGAAACATATACATTCCAGTCCCCAGGAAAGGAGATGCAAGGGTTGTAGTAACTATAGGACCAATTGCTCTAACTTCCCATGCAAGCAAAGGGATGCTCAAGAAGTTTCCAAAGGCTTTTACCATATATGGAACAAGAAATGCTCAATGTTCAGACTGGATTCTACAAAGGCTTTTACCATACAGTATATGGAACAAGAAATGCTCAGTGTTCAGACTGGATTCCAAAAAGGAAGAGGTGCATAGTGCAAATATACATTGGCTTAGTGAAGCGTACAAAAAAAAAATTAGAAGATCAGTCTATGCTTTATAGACTGCAGCTTGAAGCATACAAAAAATTAGAAGATCAGTCTATGCTTTATAGACTGCAGCAAAACTTTTAACTGTGTGAATCATGAGAAACTTTTAAAAGAAATTGGTATGCTTCAGCTCTTGATTGTCCTGATGATTGTCCTGTAACAAGATGCTACAGCTGGGACAGAATATGGAGATTGGTTTCCCATTGGCAAAATATGTCAGATGAGGGTGCATTTTATCTATACACATATGGAAAACTGGATTAGATTAAGTGTAAAGAGGAGTGAGAATTGGTGGAAGAAATCTCAGTAATTTGAGATATGCAGAGGAGACCATCTTCCTGGCAGAAAGCAGCAATAAACTGAAAAAACTTCAGATAAAAGTGAAAATGCCAAAGCAAGACGTCGGTTGAACCTTAAGAAAACAAAAATCATGACCAGAGAAGAATTGCACAACTTTAACACTGACAATGAAGAAACTGAAATTGTTGACGATTTAATATACCTTGATTCAGTAATCAATCCAAATGGAGACCGCAGCCAAGAAATCAAAAGAAGACTAAGACTCGGAAGGGAAGCAAAGAAAGAATTAGAAAAGATAATCAAGTGTAAGAATGCTTCACTGGAGACCAAGACCAAGTTCATCCACACTATTATATTCCCAATCTCCCATTGTTGTTTGTTAAGAAAATCAACCTGGGGTTGAGATTGATTCATTCAAAAAGTGGTGCTGGAGAAACCTTGAAGTACCAGAAAGGCAAACAAGTGAGTCCTAGATCAAGCCTGAACTATCTTGCCCTAATGGAGAAGTTATACAAATTCAGATGACAAAAAAGATTTGCACAAACAAATATATAGCAATTTTGACTCCTTTTATAGTGCTCCAATATGTGGACCAACTGCTATACACCTGGATCTTTGGACCTATGTTTTAAAAACTAGAATAATAATTAATCAAGTGATTTTGATATTTTGTTATGCCTCGCTTTCCTACTTCTCCTATTTGTGTCTTTAATATATATTCAGTTTCAGTCCAAGTAATAGAATATATCCCCAGTAATACTAGTGCAAGTGTTTTTTATTATAAGTTTTGTACTTGTAGTACAGTATTAAAATTTATACTCCAAAGTATTGCCATTGTCAGTGATAAACACTTGTACTAGTATTACTGGAGATATATTCTATTACTTGGACTGAAACTATGTGTGTGTCTGTCTGTGTGTGTGTGTCTGTGTGTATGTGTCTGTGTGTGTGTGCGCACACACACACACAGTTTCAGTCCAAGTAATAGAATTTATCCCCAGTAATGCTAGTGCAAGTGTTTTTTTATTATAAGTTTTATACTTGTAGTACAGTATTAAAATCTATACTCCAAAGTATTGCCATTGTCAGTGACTAACAGAAATGTTCCCTTTGCTTGTTTTGTTTACTTCTAACAATACTACTACATTTTGATGTCCTCGAAACCTAGCAAGATAAAAGGACAGGATGCCTGTAAACCTATACAGGTTCTTGGACTAAATCAGCTTATTTTTCTGTGTTTGTGCACAGAACCCGGGTTCAAGGAGAAGAGAAGGGCCATTTTAAAAAAGAGCAAGAAGCTCCAGCTCCAGAACCACCAGCCCCAAGGAAAGCCAGGAGGGCAAGAGGGAGCTTCTAGAGAAGGACCCTTTTACAAACCGTGCCCCACCATCAGCGGAAGCTTCCTCCGTGAGATCAAAGCCCGCCAGCCGGGTTCTGGGCAATTGTATTCATCTGTAGGCGGCAGCGCCGGTTCGTAAGTTTCGTTACCGACCCCACGGCGAAGCTTCCACGCCAGGCTGGGGTCTCTCCTTCATGGCGGGGAAGCCCTCCTGCGCCTCCAGAAAGAGTTAGGCGAGGCAGAGGACTGGGAAGGAGCGCGGGGGATTCGCCCGAAGCTTAGCCAGAGCCGCTTCCTTCTCTGCCGGCTCCCGAGGAGCCGCTGCCCAGTTTGCAATGCAAGCAATGCTCCTCAGCGCCAGCCCCCCCGGGGGGGGCTCTCTACTCTCCCCTCTCCCCCTCGCCTCCTTCTTCCCAGGCGTCCGACCACGGAATTGAAGCAAACGGTCCCGTCCGTGCCCGACTTCACCTGCCTTACCTGTAGGCTGAAAAAAATTAAGGAGGGCGGGTTGCCCGCTTTCCGGTCCTTCCTCAAGCCCCCTTTCCGTCCCTTCCCCACCCCCCCCCCCCCCGAGCGGCGCAGGGTCGAGCCTCACCCGCCAGCAATTCGCTACCAGCTTCCCACAAAGGTCTCCCCACCCGGGCGAATGGAGGCGAGAGAGCCCCTGTCCGGCTGGGAAAAAGAGCGGGAAACCTTGGCTCGACCTCGCGGCTGCGGGACCGAAAAGCTGCGTCGAAATGAGGCCGGGGGCGCCGCCAGGGAGGGAGCTTTTCATCTGGGTCTCTTGGTCGGAGCAAGCAGGGGAGGGGAGGGGAGGGGAGAGGCGCGGAGCTGGAAACTTTGGCCACAAAACTTGGGCCTTTCTGTCTGCCAGGCTGCTGAATAGAGGTGTCACTTCTTGTCCTGCGCCCTTCCCCCAGAAAAGCTTTGGCCCGCTTCCATGTAATGTGTGCCCATGAGAGGAAAAACAGCCCCTTTTGACAACACAACAATTTAGAAAAGCAGTCAAACAAGAGGCAAACCACTTGTGCCACCTTCAAGACTTAACTGTTATATTTTAACGGGAGCTAGCAAGGTCGAAAGATCAGCAGTTCGAATCCACCCGAAGGAGTGAGCTCCCGTCGCTTGTCCCAGCTCCTGCCAACCTAGCAGTTTGAAAGCATGTAAAAATGCGAGTAGATAAATAGGGACCACCTGGGTGGGAAGATAACCTCGTTCCCTGATGGCTCTACGGCCTGGAAACGGGGATGAGCTCGTTCCCTGATGGGTCTACAGCCTGGAAACGGGGATGAGCACCGCCTCCTAGAGTCGGACATGACTGGACTAAATGCCAAGGGGAACCGTTACCTATATTACTATCAGGTTCATACATGGACCCATGATCTGACTATCAGGTTCATACATGGACCCATGATCAGGTGGCAATGCAGGTAATGGGCAGAGCGACAATTGTTTGTTAGTAAACGAACAGGACTTTCAGACTGATTCATATTTATTTATTTTTTAAAATCCTATCAATTATGTATCTGCAGGATGACATCAAAATGGTTGACACAAGCAACAAACTGTGAGAATCAATGTAAGATTTCACACTTGATAATATGCCAGCAATGCTATTGCTACCTTGCAGACACCTAACTGACATCATTCACAGCCAATAGTCCTTAATTAACTAACCACTGGCACTTTGTTCATTATCTGTATCCCTACCTGGTCATGGGGCCATGTATGAATAGGGCAGTCGCATAGTCTCATGTGAATGTCTGAGAAAGTGCACTTGCTCCATGAAAACAGACATTACGATACTGTATAGCTGTTAGTCTTTAAAGTGTCACAACGTCTCTCTCCCTCATCGGGTATGTTTGCACAGCCAAATATGGCTACTTCTTCAAATGCTACAACTATGAAAGGTCCATTCTGAGAGGTCCCATGATGTTTGACAGCACTCTATTATCTCCAAAGCTTTCTGCACAAGGCATTGTCTAGCATGTCATTGTACGTAGGAATGACTATAGAATGCAGCTGTGATTCTTACTGAGCAAGTGATGCACACATTCACTGATCTTTGCTGTAGGGTTAGGGGGAAAAATCACTTCCACTACTCCAACCCCCAATGATGGTAGTCTCTAAATTATGGTCTACTTTCCAGGATCTCCAAAGGCTAGTCATGAACTCACACAAGTCAATGTTTTGTAATATTGCCTTACCACCATTGACTAAGCATGATGCATCACCAAAAAGATATCTTACCATCTCAAAAACCTCTGTTTCAACAGAAGCAATGAAACAATAGCAATAGTAAGATGTGAAACCCTTTCTTGGATACTACCAATCAATTACAAAATAAATTTAAAGTGCACTATACAAAACATTTCTTCCATAAAAATGAAAAAAAATCTTTGTTGAGAATAGACGATGAAGGAGGCTCTGTGAACTTAAAACTCAAACACAGTTACCCTCTCATTGTGCAGTCTGCCTCCTCCTTTAAGCTTCTGTATATATATTTCCAACCATTCGTCCTGCACAGGTTTTATTCATTTGCCAACACCATCTGAAACAGTTTCTTAAATATGGTTTTCAAATCTAATAAATAAATAATAAATAATAAATAAAGTGTATTATTAACTGTGTGATAATTTTGTGCATTGCTTGATAATTTCCTTCCTCATATATTAATGGGCCCACTCCAGCTAATCAGCTCAAAAGCACTTTAGCGCTTACCTGTTTGAGATTTTCCACTAGAACTGCTCTCTTACTTCGATTTATACCTGCCAAATAGTGTGTGGATCACTGCACCAGACGGTCACTTTAGTATTAGGAAATGCGATCTGTTCCTTTCTGGTCCCTTGAGCTAGCCTATCTACTGAAATATTCAGCTGTCAGTTACAAGCAGTACAAGCAGATGTTCGACTCATCTTACGGCTGTATCAGTTATCAGTTCAGTAAATAGCGGATTTTCTTCTATATTGATCAGGATCTTAATTCACCCTGCTGAGCAGAAGAGCAAGCATGAAAAATGCTCTTTGTTGGTGCCTCTGTTTGTTCTGTAGCTAGCTGGGTAGCTCAGTGAAATGGAGTACCTGGCTATGGGGCCAGGGGTCAGGAATTCAATTCCTCATTGTGCCCCCTGGAAAAGAGTGAGGTTGTGTGTCGTAGAAACGTTGCACAGTCCCGGAGTGCCCCAAAGAAGAATGGACTAGTAAGCCATTCTGAGTAATGTACTTTATGCTTTGGAGCCTCTGAGAAGAGTCACCTTAAGTTGGAAAACAATTGTTAGTTCAGTAAGATTCACACTCAAGGCTCAGAATATTGTCATTCAGTAGCCAAAATCCTCGCATTAGAAGGCAGCAAGAGTCCTTCTATGCCAGGATAATATGGGCAGGCACCAGGCAGTTAAAGGAAACCTTTATAACTACAGTATAACTAATCGAACTCCAGTGGTAAGCCATCATTTTAAGATGGAAGCTCAGTGGTTCAAAGTAATAAGAATGAGAATTAAGGGGCTACATTGCAAAAATGATGCAATTACTAGATAACACTGTCATATCAAAATTAAGGAATTAATATTTTATAGCTACTCTTGAATGTCACATTTAAAGAGCATTTAAACAAATTTAAGAGGCATTTTGATATATTTTTCCCAAGTTTTATGTCTTTCTGTTATCAGTCCTAAGTGATTTTTTTTTTAAAAGAGCTGTTTTGTCTTTACACACGCTACAAGTACAGGAGCAGGCAATACTGTTATTAAACTAGCAAGGAAAGGGTTAATTCATTCCCTGAAGTCTGTAAAAAGCTGCAGCTGGTAGTTGAAACTGAGCTGGGTGGGAGAAAGGAAGCATCTCTTCAACTTGAAAGGCTAGCTGTACCTGTGTAAGATTATTCTTGGCAGTCTTGAAGTTAGAAACAATGTTATGAGAATAATCTCTCCTTGGAGTCTCATGGTGCTGAAATTAGTAACCCTCAGTGATGAGTCACTCTTGCCAGTTAGCTAGTCTGGGGAAGAACATAATCTGATTGGTGGAAATGGTTGACCCACCCAGAGAGGGGATGATGGAATATAAAGAAAATAAAAGAAAGATTCACAATGGAAGTTTAAACTTATGAATAGCTTGCTTAGCTTGATGTTTCAACATATACAGTAATTTGTAACTGTTGTTCTGCTGAACTCTGTATGTGCACTAGAACCAAACTAGTTTAGAAATATAGATCTAGTTAGTTAGTTTTTATTATTTTCTGTGATTCTTAACTACCTATGTCTCTGAACTGAGCTTTGTTTTGCTTCTTACTGTGGAACGCCTTCACATCATTATTATTAATTTGGAAGCTTTACACAAATTTATTTTTTCAATACTTTTAATAAAAATAATACCGTTTACCTGCTGTGTTGTCACTCAGACAGATCAAGGTGTTGGTGGTACTAAGGAAAGTGCCTTACCTTTGTAGGTTTTGTATTTCTTGCGGGGTTTTGGTATTTTCTAACTTGCAAGGTTGGTTTGCAGCCACAAGCAATAACCTGAGAGTTGTTGTCTCTGCCAGGCCCACTAAAGGAGCAAATAAGCTCAAGAGTGTTGGGAGAAGGCTCTCACGGGAAGCCTTTCCCAATTGTTAGCACACTGAATCCTCCTGGAAAGTACCCAGAGTAGTATAAACAACGATAGTGTAGCTGAATTGTCAGTGGATCTTCTTGGTCTTGACCTGTAATCTTCAGGTATCTTTGTAGGTGACTAATAAAAACCATACAGTTTGTTAACTTTCATGGATCAGGACCCACTTCATCAGGCAAGCACCAGTGTCTTGTCATTAGTGCACAGAACTTGGAGCCCCCAAAGTTCCTGGCAGATGGAATTGGCATGAAACAAAGAAAGAATCAGGCTCCACTGGATGTGTGGGTTTAAAGGCTTTAAAATTACAGCTGAATAAGCTGTTGATTGAAGAGCTGAGGTGTGATATCTAAACAGAGAAGCCCAACTATTATGCATGTACCTTCCCTCATGACCTTCCTTTGAAACTATAAGTTTCTATTCAGCTGGGGAACAGGGGAAGACAAAAAAAACACAGATTTTTTTGTTTTTTTTGTGTTTTGTATTTTTAAATATTTTATTTAATCTTATTTTATCACATTTTATTAAATTTAAATTTTAAATATTTTTTAATTTGTAGTAAAATATATA